GTAGCGTAACCTCCTCTGCCGTCATGCGCTGCTCTGTCTCGGAACTCACCGCTGTAGGCCGTGCTGCTGGGCGCCGGCTCCAAACTTTTATCTTTTCCTGGCGCCGAGCACGACGCAACGTCGTGACCGCTCTTCGCCGCCGCCGTGTGCTGTGTGCCATTAAAACCGCATGTACGACTGACTCGCGATATTATTTTGTTTACTTGACGGTTTCCGTACCAGTGCCATCGTTCTGCAAAATAATTCGTTTTTTTTGAGAAGTGTTCGATTTGCTAAACCATAAATCTGTGGGCGTTCCTAGTTTGGACAAGAGGACTTCGAAACAGCTCTAGGTCGTACTTCTGTGCATTTGTTCCTTTTATTGTCCTATTCCGTCTATGAATACTATTAATTTGTATTGTCATATGCTGTCACTATGATGTGACATTTTATGTTTTATTTATATTTATATTTATTATATTGTAGTTAATTGTTTGGGCCCCTTTAATTATCATTAATTGGGCTCATGTCTATAACATTCGATACCATTGGATTGGAAATTAATGTGGTTAAAGGGGGAATAGTAAGTTCCTACACGAGAGTAGCAGGTAAACAATTACATACTTTAGCTCCTACTTCCAATATGTAAGTTCCTACACGGTAAAAACCAGGTACGTATGTTAGTTCCTACACTGCGGAAAGGGTTAAATATGTATATCATACACAGACGTATCGGCAATGTTCTGATAGAGTCCATACGACAAACGCATGTGAAAGTTTTCATACAGATTTTAACTCGAATTTTTATCACCAACATCCACATATTTTTAAAATTATTGAAATTCTCAAAGGTACTAACCAAAAATCAGTAAAAAGTACACCGAAAAAGAAGATTTCATAAATAAACAAATTTCAGATTATTCAACGAACAAAATTAATCAATACGAATATGTTAAGATTTTAAGTTATAGAAATAAACCTCATAAAATATAAAATTTCGTATTTTATGTATTTTTAATTTTTATTATATTTTTTAATCACCATATTATACAATATTTATTTGTGAAAATGCACGATTTTTATTATATTTTTTAATCGCCATATTATACAATATTTATTTGTGAAAATGCACTATGACGATTTTTATTATATTTTTTAATTATCATAATTAACCTACCTGGTTTTTACAGTGTAGGAACTTACATACGTACCTTTTTCCGTCGTGTAGGAACTAACGTATATGTATTTTGTGTACCTGCTGCTCTCGTGTAGGAACTTACATTCGCCCGGTTAAAGGCAGTAGGGTGGCTAAATTTAGAAAGCGATTATAACTGTGATTGTCGTACATTCCAACGTTCGTTTACGAAATAATTTACGATTAGGATTTGTTCAAAATAAAATCTACAACCAAGTAAATAAAATAATACAATTATAAAAATGATTTTAATTTCCGGGACATTACTATGCAAAAGTACAAAACCGGTACAAATTTTTGAGAACCTTTGTCCGGGACGTCAGGTCATAGATTCTTGAACCGGTAATGTTCCGGGAAAGTCCAAGTCAGACACAATTCCTTATTCATAATATAATTTTAGATTATATTATTATAAAAGTTATGATGTATCATTTTTTTATGCGTTACGCATACCATGGTATCGCACTGTTAATTTAATTTTTTTTATTATTATGAATTAACAGTAATTGTATAACTAATTTATTGTTGTCAAATTATAACAATAAAGTCTTTTCATTGCAGCTGTTGAATAGCAAAATGATTTTTCTTTTTGAATCAATATTGAAGACAAAATACAATAATCTATACAGCTATTTATCCTTATATTTTACAGCAGGGGCGCCATTTGGGGGGGGGGGGGGGGGGGGGGGGG